AACTCCCATCACTCTCAGCCAGCTTGTTCTTTAGGACTGACTGTCCAACATGCTGGGAAAGCATCTGGATGGGGAAGGTTGCACCCCTAAAAGCCAAATTGTGATATTCTGGTCCCTTGGGCCACGAGAAACGAAATGGGCATGCAAAAACATGCAAATATTTGGAGCCTCTGCCTCTCCTTGCAAAGCATTGGAAGACCGACCAGCCAAGTTTTCTTGCAAACTGGGTTTGTCTAGTCCAGTGAAAAGAACTAGGGGCAACATGATAGCAGTAATAAGAGTATTTGAGAGGTTGCCACAAAAAAGGGGGTCAACTTATTCTCCAAAGCACCCGAAGGCAGGACAAGAAGCAAAGAATGGATAGTAATCAAGGAGAGAACCAACTTAAAGCTAAGGAGAAATTTCCTGACAGAACAATGAATCAGTGGGACGACTTGCCTCCAGAAGTTGTTAATTCTCCAACACTGGAAGTTTTTAAGAAGAGATTTGGACAATAATTTGTCTTGAAGGGTATAGGGTTTCCTGCTTGAGCAGGGGGTTGGACTAGTAGACCTCCAAGGTCCCTTCCAATTCTGTTATTCTGCACAGAGTCGCTGTTCCAAAATATGCACCTACTTCTGATGTTGTTTTTTGCATTTGTGTGTTTGCAGTATAAAAAATGTCTCCAGGCTTAGAACACATCTGCATTTATTCTGTTGTCTTTTCCCTGAAATTAAGGCAAAATGAACCATGTACAAGTTTTTTCCCTTCAAGGTTGCCAGCTATCATTCTTCCAAAATCCTCCTGAAGTATCAGACTACAAATACAATGAACCTGCTGCCTGAGCAGGGTGGGAATTGGGGTCCCACATTTGGAAGGCATCAAGTTCAGAAAGACTTACAAAGCTAAAAACGGAACATTGTGCTTCCTCTCCACATCAACAGAACACTTTGTGGCAGCCACATAGATTTGGAAAATTGTATTTATTTATTTTTTAAAACAAACATTCATCCAGAGTATAAAATTTTCCCTCTGTGTTCCTGCTGAAGTTCAACCCCTCGAGAGTGTCAGATTGAGGCACATATACGTTATAAGGGGGGCGGAAATAAGGCATAGTAGTGTGCTTGTGTGTGACAATTGTTCCCTCCCGTTAACCCTGAGATTCAGGTCTTGTTAGCAAGAGAGGTGAGCAACAGCTTTGACAACAAAATCATAAACATAATTAAAAAATCCCACAGTGCCAATTGGTACCCGCATTTAGAAAAAAAACAGCAGCAGTGGCAAGAGTGTAAGAAGACTTTGCCTCGGAATGCTAAATCAACTCATTTAGAAATGTAGTTTTAAAAACATCCAACTCAAGAACAGCGATCGGAAAAACAAACCAAAAAAAAAGTTCACATTTTCAGGTCAGGAGCCCAAAAGGAGTAGAGTATTAATGGAGCAGAACTGAAGATCTGGGGATGTAAAAAATCACAATTCAAGTAACGACCGGAGCCTGTGTCAGAATGCTAAAAAAAAAAAAAAAATAGGAACAGTTTGGCACACCAATTTTCCTAAATGGAGCAAGCTCTCCATTTAGAAATTTGAAAGGTTCTCCCTCTGGATTGGGAACCACAGTGAGGGAGAATCCAGATCAGACTCAGTGCCTGTGTACCAATTTTTTGGGCCACTTTTGTGCAATACACAGGAAACCTTACTATCTGGTTAATTCCCAACGATTTGGGGAGTGTATATGCTGGTGCCTCCAAGGAATTTTTTTTCCAAAGCTGCATCTTTAGGATAAGCCTTTCCCTAGCAGAGTTTAATTGTGCTTTTAGCCTACTCCAAACAGAATATCTCCATACAATGCAGTGGAATTAGGGGCAGGATTAATAAGCAGTTTTATAAAACTATTTCTGCATGATTCATTTCAGAATTCCCTCAATGCATCTGTTTCCCTTTTTTGGAAATTCTCCATGCATGGAAAGGCCCAATCTTTATACCTGGTCTCAGGTATAGGCTTTCTGCATATGACTTTTTTTAAAAAAGTTTTTTTGAAGGGTTCAAGAATTAGGCTTAATTGAGTCATATTTTATACAGATTGGGGGCAAAAAATAAACCCCATGATGCCCGTCACTGCAGTTTTTAAACATGCTTTGCTCAACCCTGCAATTCAGAGCATTCAGAGTCCAGAATTAGTTGAGGCTGACTCCTGTGAATCTTTTAACAAGATTGACTGGAGCCTCGTGGTAGTGGATAAAATCTGGGGAAATGGGAGACACCCCACCCCTCCCCAATTGAGGTGAAGGTGCAAGGCACTTACAGAGTGAGAAGCCCCACAGTACGTCCGGGTATCAAGAGAGCTTCGACCTTACTGTAAACAGATTCACAAGCATTCAACTACATCCCCCCCGGATGGCTGGGGGGTTCAGAAGCAGCACAGGTCGGTTGGAAGTTCTACTAGATCTCGATCCAGGAACCCTCGGAGGAAAGATCTGGAATGGAAAGTCTACGAAGTCAAGAGGACAGATTTGTCAAAACTACTGGAAGGCTGGAAGAAATACTGGTTCTGGCTGGATTGAAGTGGAAGGCATAAAAGTAGTGAATCCTTTCTGAGCAAGATAAGATTCTTGCCCACCTAAAGCGTGTGTGAAAGCTGGAAGGTCCAGGAGATGGAGCCGGGTACCTAAGATGGAGAAAGAAATGGCTTCTCTCCAGGACCAACACAGGATATCTTTTTAGCAGCATCCCTTTTTTTTTTTTTTTTGGACTGTGGCTGTTGAGATTATCCGGTAGATTTAGACGTACATGGCTCTGGACATCACGAAGGCCTTATCCGTGGGCAGGGATGTTAACGCCTCCTCGTCGTCCGTGGCCGCAAAGGAGAGGGCGTCATAGATGGGGTTGATCTGGTCTAAATATTCATCTTCCAGACTGGGGCCGGCCTCGCCTGCTGCCTCTCGTTCCTCCAGCGTGGGCAGCTCGTGGTAACGCGGCACCTCCTGCAGAAAAGGGGAAGAGAGAGAGAGAGGAGGCAGTCACTAACTGGGACTATAATGCAGTCCCTACTAATGACGGGCCTCAGAGTGGCTTTGCTTTTTTTATTTTTTGTAGCGCTCTGAAGATGAAGCACCCAGAGGCTGCGTTCCCACCACATATTTGAGCTGACATTTGATTATTTATTTATATCTTAGGTTTTTTTATGTCACCTTTATCTTACATCTTATTATACAGTATATAAAAGCAAAATACCCCTCACGCAACACCACAAAATCTCCAGAACCGTAAAGCCTACAAACTTGAAATTTGGCACGTATGTTCCTCTTGGCTTCTAGGGGCTCACTAAAGAAAGGATTTTTTGAAATGACCATCAGAGCATTAATATTTCCTATATTATTATTATTATTATTATTATTAACACGCTCTGATGCTAAAGCGTTCTACTCCTCCTCCCCACCTGAAAAGAAATCTCTTCCAAATGCAGAACACAAGCAGAGGAGAGGAGTTTCAGTTTCAGTGCACCAAGCAGCTTTAGTACAGAACAGTTGAGCTAAGCCACACCCAGGCTCCTTGCTGTCTCCCTCTTGCTCACACAGCAAATACTCTTTCAGTTTCCAAAGCGCCCTGGACTCTCTCACACACTGACAGGACGCTAGCCAGATGAATACTGATGGATGCTAAGCCCAACCACATAGTTTCGTAGCAAAGCATGAGTATTGAGCTAATTATTTGATAAGTAACTCAAGGCAGCGGAAATATCAAATACCCCTTCCTCCTCTTATTTCCTACCACCACCACCACAACAGCCCTGTGAGGTGGATTTGGGCTGAGAGAGCGGGAGGGGGGGACTGTCCCCTAGCCGGCTTTGAGGGGTAAGACAGAACTAGAACTCACTTCTCCTAGCGATTGGCCCAAAGTCACCCAGTTGGCTTTCAGGCCTAAGGCTGGGTTACAACTCACCGTCTCCTGGGTATTGGCCCAAAGTCATCCAATGGGTTTTCAGGTCTAAGGTGGGACTGGAAATCACAGGAACCTGGTTTCTAGGACAGCACCTTCCCCACGACGCCCAGACGACCCTATGTCTGACCCGACTCTACTTGGCCTGGTTCACACAACCTCTTAAGACCAATGGCAGAGGTTTCGCACATTACACTGGACTACAAGGTGCCCAATCACATTTTGCCACAGCCAAGTGTGTTGTGTGAACCTAGCCAGCAGCCTGGCCTGAACTGCAGAAAGCAGAATAATCCTGAGTTAAAAGGCGTGCCTGGTTAAGGTTGTAACGCGAGAACTGTGGCACCAACCATATCGCATCTATGGAGGGAGAACGCAAGACGCCGCCTTCTTCAGCCTCTACATACTTGGCAGAGGTAGATCTTCTTTCCCCTTGTCATGAGGACTAGAAACTTGTATTACTGAAGGAAAAAAAAGACGGCCAGGAGGAGTCTCCGAATTCTTACACGCACCTCCCTGACTACCCACGCTTTGAGGTCCGGTTTCTGATTCGCAAGGTGAAATTTGGGAGGACTACGTTTATCTAGAGTTTTGATGGGAAGATTCTCCTAACGCCCACCCAGATGCCTACATTAAACCCGTTTCAGATAGTTTGTTCACCCAGATTCCCCTCACCTCTTTCGCGGTGGGGCCGGTGCCTCCAAAGAGATTGTCCGCGACGTTGGGTTCGTAGTAGGGGGCTTTGAACGGGATACATTCAGCCCCAGTGGCGTTAGCAACCTGGAATAAAACCAGAGAGGTGGTGAAAGGCAGGAGACGTTAAGTGAGATGCTGGCTAAGTGAGTTTTGTCCCGTGCTACGACCTTTCTTGTTCAGCAAATCACTGCAGTTGTGAAGTTAGTAACATCTGGCCTTCCCCACTGACTTTGAATCTGGCCTTCCCCACTGACTTTGCTTGTCAGGAGGTCACAAAAGGGGGTCATAACTGCAACCGTCATAAATGTGAGTCAGTTGCCAAGTGCCTGAATTTTGTAGGAATTGGGTATGTCTAGTTTAACGAAACTGACTAGGGGGTGATACGAAAGCAGTGTTCCAGCATTTGAGGGGCTGCCACAAAGAAGAGGGGGTCAACCTATTCTTCAAAGCACTCTTCAAGGCAGGACAAGAAGCAACGGATGGAAACTAATCAAGGAGAGAAGCAACCTGGAATTAAGGAGAAACTTTCCCAAAAGCGAGGACAATTAACCAGGGGAAAAAGTTTGCCACCAGAAGGTGTGGGTGCTCCATCACTGGAGGTTTTTAAGAAGAGATTGGACAACCATTTGTCTGGAATGGTACTGTCATGCCCCTGGGGGAGACTGAGTCTGAGGGAGAGGAGGAACAGCCGACAGGGAGTGGAAGTGTGGCTCCGGAGGTTGTGGAGGAGGCTGGGGAAGGGCAGAAGCCGGCTGAGCAGTCAGTGGAGGATCCAGGCCCATCCCCTCTCCATCCTAGGGCATGCAGGGAGGAGAGGATAAGGGAGAGACGTGAATGGCATGGTCTAAGGGGTAGGAAAGGGCCTTGATCCTCTTCATGGGCTGCAGCTGTGAGAACTGGTTAAAAGGACGGACATGCGTATGGGCCAATGCTGGAAACCAAGCATGGACATATCTCTAGTCTGTCGTTCCTCTCTGAGTTTGGCGTCCTTCCCAGTGTGTGTTCCGATATCTGTGGATGTCTTCAAGCCCTTATCTTGCCTGGTTCCCTTAATTGCTTCAGTGTGGTTTGTGTTGTTTTTTACTCTTTATAATTTATAGGCATTTTTAGTTTAAACCGCATTTCGTAACTGCTTATGGGGGAGTTTTTTTGACTCCAGTCAAGGATATTTGGAGCTTGGAAGCAAAGTGAAGGAACAAAAGGGGCTTCCCCTGTTTTTGTGACTGTGTTTATTTTGTCATCCCACCCTGGGTCATCACAGGTACAGGGTCTCCTGCCTGAGCAGGGGGTTGGACTAGAAGACCTCCAAGGTCCCTTCCAACTCTCGTAATTCCAAAAGCAGGTGCCTGCAGACCATGCTGGGAGCAGGGTTGATACTTACCAGCTCCGTTTCTTCTGACAGTTGGCAAGGAGGGGGCGGCTTGTACGCTGGGGGTCCTTCCAAACTGAAGAGACAGCAAGAAACGAGAGCCTGTTTAGCAATTTGTTTTGCATTTATGCACGGTGCCAACCAATAGGGGGGTGGAGGTTGAGATTGGGAGTGGTTGCTTTCACACAATTGTGGGGGTAGGGAGGCGGGGCGCTGAGGCTCCACAGACGTTGTCCAATTCCAACACCACACACTTCCAAGCAGCATGGAGATACCGGCAGGTGAACCAAGGCCTGGGCAGCCTCACCCATATTGATTTACGTTTTATGATTTTTGTGCTGCCTTTAGTTCAGGAGCTTCGAAGAGCTCCTTCCTGCCGTTTATCTTCACAACAGCCCTGTGAGGTAGGATGAGACGAGAGAGCACCTGGCTCATAGTCACCCAGGGGGCTTGTGTAACCAAAAAACCATGCTCTCCTTGGTTACAGTCCAACATCTTCACCACAGGTAAGAATCAGAGATGGATATATTTTTAATCGGTGGGGGGAGGGAGACGTGAGAATTGGGGGATCCCAAATCTTCCTTGAATTATTTGATCCTAACAGATTCGGTTTGATTGGAGGATGTGAGACTTGCCCCGCCTCCTTTTGGCCCCCCGCCTCCTGTTTAGAGCTGAAGCCCCACCCACTCATTATGCAGCTCCGCTCCAGGGTTTAAGTCAGGAGTGGGCAACAATGGCCTCTTTACGACCTGTGGACTTCAACTCCCAGAATTCCTGAGC